TGGCAAATTCTATTTGTTTTACCCTAACTCTTCCCCAGAGCTTCTGTGAATGTTTGTACTCATTTAACAGTGGCTGTGAATATATTTTATTATTTCCCTGAGGTGTTTTCAGGAAATTATGGCTCCCTTGGCATGGAAATTATGGTTCCCTACTTAGAGCAGAAGGAAAATTTTAAAATGATAATGTGAAGATTCATTCAGTTAATCAATAAGATGTTTGTAATTTTATACAGCGACTTAGGAGAACTTGCCTTTGAAGAAGTGAAGGGAGGGTAAGAGAACAAGAAAGGAATAAATGATATCATGTATAGGTACAAATTCACTGTGATGAATGTGATCATTATGTATACCTAAAATGTACCAATGAATGTAATTTTAAAAAGACCAAAAAACAACAAAGGAGAAAGCAAATACCAATATAAGGAAATAAACATTGGTGCTGAATTATAGAACAAGTAAGTAGGCATGGAAGGCTTTCCAGTGCAGAGAGGAGTTGTATGCTATGCCTTCAATCACCTGTTTAAAGTTAGAGTTGGGTGAGAATAATTGCAAGTGTATAATTCATATCAGGATGTCTAGCCAGAGTTAGGACATAATAAAAGAGAAATGCAATCATCCTAAGTAACTTTCACTTGAAGTAAGATTTTTTTGCTATCTTTGACTAAAAGATACTAAAATATCAATAAAATACCACAAACAAAAGAATTTAAGTTTGATGAGGAATAAAATATTACCACATTAGCTTTTTAAAATAAAAGCAAAAACCATAAAAATATATTAAATAAAATTAGTCTTTATAAAGCTATATATTTTTATAAACCCTATATTTATCTATATGAATCATAGTACAAAAATTTAAATATTATAAAATATCTCCTTTGAATGTTATATTATAGCAATCATTCTTTAATAACCAAGTCCTCTATTTGTAAATATTAACTGCTGCAGTATTTTTGAAATTACAAACAGAAATTTTGAGGTGAGGCTTTCTCCCCCAAATCCTACCCTCCAAATATAAAATGTCCAGGATGTTTTACACAAGGGCAAACAAAATAAAGCTGTGTGTGCCCTCAGATTTCCAGTGTAGCCGTGGAGTAAGAAAAAACTTTCTCTAGTAAATTTTACCAATGTTTTACAAGTCTAAGCCTATTGGTTTGTTTTCTTTCAACAAAATAATCAAAGAAATGTTGATTGCTTTCTTCTATCCTTATTTCAAAGTCATCCACTGTATCAACAGAGATACATACTTAATAGAGTAGTGAAACACAGATTCCTTATAATACCTAGAATCCTAATCTGTCAAACTGAATGCTGTATCCATGATCATATTATAATAGACCATTTAGGAAAAGTATGGGCAATCCCTCAGAAAAACTTAACACTGTGCCCTGAAAGATGGTGTCATAAGGAAGTAACATTTCATATGCAATTCTGAGGACATAAAGAAATTTTCCTACACAAAGACATTAGAGGTAAAGAGTAAGATGATTTCCGAGGAGGAAAGAAACTATGCTCCAAGGCATGGATTTCTGAGAGAACCTGGCTTGTTAAAGGTGCAAGAAGAGAAATGTCAAAGTAAATAATAGGCTAGCTAGGTACAGATTTTGAAGGAATTAAGAGACCATAACCAAGCATTTGGACTTTAGGTGGGAGGGCAGCTAGAAACTAAGAGAGGCAAAAACCATAGTTAAAATATTTTAAAGCACCACTCCTACTTATTTTCAGGATGGAGATAGAAATACGTGTTGTTATTCAAAGGACTATAAACAACCTTGAGTGAAAAATCTCTCTTCCTGTGGTGTCACTAAAGCCTGATGCTCACCATTACAGAGATTCTTTTGGCCTAACCAATATAAATTTCCTTTGGAAGGGTAACACTTTCAAGCTGCCATCCCTGTTAACATTATTGTTTAAATTTCAATATAGTCTTCTGAGAGAAATTAGGTTTTTGAATACAGGTAAAAATGGAAGAAGCATTAAAGACTTTCTTCAAAAAGTCTAAAGCCGATTTCCTTCCTTGTGAATTAGTTCTCCTGCAGACCATAAACCCATTCCTCCTTCATCAAGAGAAGAGCAGATCACTTTCCATATTGTACTACACAAATTCTTTTTATGCTTAATGATGTGTTTTACAAACTTGCCATATTCAAATAATGAAGAAATTGTAAAGTAGCACAGAACAATAGAAGCAAATTACACCAAATAGCCTGGTAATAACAGCAACACTGCTAAAGTTAACAGAATTGTATTCTGGTTTTTTAAAATTCTATTCACATATGTACAAAGAAAAATCACCCTTATCCTCTAGCACAGGATGACAATAGATGTATCCATTCAGTCAGAGCTCAGTGAGAAAAACCACAGAGAACTAGCCACCTCTGGCTTTGCTGCTCAGGCTCTGAGGCACCATTAGTTAGCTGGTTTAATGAATTTTTTCTTGCTTTCCCGGAGGAACCTGCTGCAGACTCTACGAAAAGGAGGGTCATTGGAGAGGGCAATGTCCAGTAATGGTTTTGAGAAAGCCATTCAGTCAGCAAGACCCTGTCTCCTCCTGGAAGATGGCATAACTAGTAGAGAAAAAAGTCACAAAGATCCTCACAAGGTGCCACAAATAATGCCTGAGGAGCCCTGACTGACCTTGACAGAGAAAGGTCACTTTTGATTACCTACTCAATCTTAAACACCCAGTGGTAAAGTATAACTAGACAATGAAATAATAAATCATAACATTAAAAAAAAGAGAGCGATCTTAAGGAGATTTCTTCTCAAAATCAGGGAGGACATAACCCCAGAGGGTGAAAATGACACTGAGACTACCATGGGGATCGAAGACAAATTCCTGGGCCTTCAACCTGTTACTCATGAAAAGCATGACTTCTAGTCAGGGGCTTAAAAGCTGTGCTGCTTCACACGGACCTGCCAATAACCAAGATGTGACTAAAAGTTGAGCAAAGTCTGATCTTCATTTTGTAGAGCTCTGAATAAAACTGTTCTCAGCTCTGTACACAGACAGGTGTGACAGTCATGTAGGGAACATTAACCTAAAAGCAAAACAAGGTTTATCATCCCTAAGTACACCTAACCTGCCTTGTGACCCTTCAAAACTGGTGATACCAGGTAAGGGATCTACAGAGGCATTCAGCTTTGCCTAGAAATCTCCATTGCCCTAACCCTACAGTCACCTTGGATTCTAGTAGAGTCTCACATGACTGAAACTGCCCCAAACAGACACAATCATCCCATGGGAGCCAGATCATGAGAATTCACCTCATGGGAACAAAACTACAGTACTATCAAGTCATGGCAATTCCTCCAGGCCAACAAAACTGGGACTAAGATAATGATTGACCAGCCCCCACCCCTCTTACTGCCCCATAAAACTACCCCCTTTTCTTCATTAATTGGCCAATCTGTTCTACATCTTCATACCCAGGCCCCCCTTCGATTTGTGAAATTATCTTCTATCTTTCTATCTCTCTCACTTTCCTTGGTTGGGGGACCTGGCTTAATCTTCATCAGAGCTGTGTTACACTGTACTTTTTCTTACTTTCCAATTAAAGCTTTTTCTGGAAATTCTTGCTGATTGCCTCAGTTTTAATATGCATTTTACTGAAGTAAAGACCTGTGCCATCCCATAGCAACCACTCCCGGCTGTCACAGCAAGAAGTTGGCTGGGCTTGCTTGCATTCTATTGAAGCTTGTTCCCAGTCATCTCTCTATTACCCTTTTGTGCATTTGCCCAAGTATCCATGGAAAGGAGACTCCAGACCTGCTTAACCTGCAAGAAGCCCAGCCTTCTGCAATATCCTGGCTTTTCTCCCCTTCCTTTCCTGTCTTGAACATTCTGTGCTGAAGCTTGTCCTGGAACCTCAGCCTGAAAAGGCTGAGCCAGGTCTGAGACCTTTAGTCTCTCTTAAATATCTATCTTTTCTTTTTTGTGTCTGATACCATTATCCTCTAAGCCACTAAAATTGAGAGATCCAAGCAGATGCTTGGTCATTGGCTTCAAGTCTTTTAGAATGAGTCAGCTTAGATAAAGAAAGTTTCCTTAATATTTCATGTAACAGATTAGAAACATATATGGGTCTGAAGGCAATATCATGACTGGTTATAAAACTACCTTGTCTTGCGGGTCTTTAACCTGAGCTTTTACTCTTTACAACTGATTCCTAAGATACTGCACATGTAACAGATTAGAAGCTTATATATGGGTCCGAAGTCAATATCATGACTGGTTATAAAACTACCTTGTCTTGCGGGTCTTTAACCTGAGCATGCATATCTCTTAAGGACCTGGGCAAGTGGAGAGACTGTGGCAGTACAGAATTTACAATACATAATTTGGGGTCTTTATGCCAAAAATTTTATCAATATCACTCTTTGTGAGCATCTCCAATGCATTTTTGCCAACAGCCATGCTTTTGTAAAGGCTGTGGGAGCCACAGATATTTTTTAAATGTCTGAACTGTAGATGAGTTATTATGAAAGTGCCTTTGTTCTGTGTGATGCATTGTACTTAGATGAAAGGATTCATTCTAAAAGGAAAACAATGCCCTTCCCCACCATGCCAGCATCTGCTGTTTGCCATAAAGACAATATCACCTTCACAGAAGATAAAAATCACAAGCATGTGCTCACAATCTCAGCTCAGCTTGATGTTTTATGAATCTTTTATTAAACCTTTTATAATACTTTTTAAAATGCTTTTACTCTTTACAACTGATTCCTAAGATACTGCACAAAAATGTCCCTTTCTTTCCTACATCTCTGTTCTATCCGCAAAGCCCAGTTTTATTCTACCATAAATAATTGGTTTATGAAGAAAAAACTAAAAGAATTAGTTTTTCCCGTATTTACCTTCAAGACTAGTGGTTTCAGACCTGCTATTCTACTTTTCTTCATAATATTTCCTCATTGGGAATTATATAACTCAGAGTCCAGGTGACACAGTCTCTCCAGATTCTGTCCTTGGAGAATCTGTGCCCAGAAACCTGCCTTACCTTTAGTTGAACTAGATGCACATCCACATGTTTGCTGTCTGAGTCCTGTTGGACTGAGTAGGTTAGGTCCCGGACCCTCTCAGAGGTCATTCGGAGCCAGGTCTCAATTTCAGGCAAATGAAGGACAATCTTCCAGTCAGCCCCTGTATGGAGCGGGGGTGGCTTTTCATACTGTTGGTCAGCATCTACATCCTTCATGGCCTCTTCTCCCTCTCCTGGCTCCACAGTGGGTGTCATGTTGATGGCCATGGGTGAAGCATCAGTAGCCATGGGATCCAGGTCCTGTGACCTCAGTGGGGAGAGTGTCACACTCATGGTTAACATGGAGAATTCTAAACCTTACTTCTTTCCAAAACAGCTACAAGGCAAGAGGAAAGAAAAAAGCAAGAGTCAGATGAGATTGCCAAATAAAGAAATGATACTTCACAGAAGAAACAGGATTTCTAAATTAAGCCAGAATTCTAAATTAAGAAACCATTTCTTATAACAAAAACATAAAGAGTTATTTTGATTTTCTGCATGGTAGCCCCAACACTCAGCATACAACAAGAACACAAAATTATAGTGCTACTGTCTACTAAACATCCACTCTCCCCTCACACTTTAGTAACCTGAAACTGATTTTTTTTTTTTTTTTCAGAACCGGGGATTGAACTCAGGCCCTTGCGCTTGCCAGGGAAGCGCTTATTCCACTGAGCCATCTCCCCGGCCCTGATACTGAATTTTAGCTATGAATATTCCTGCTGAAAATTTTAAACTACTTCCCCATTTCCTTTGCAGCTAGATGTGGCCATGTGACTAAGCTCTGGCTAATGAGAAGTAAGTGAAATTGTATGCAAAATTCTTAGAAAGCTCTTGAAAAGGAGTTGATTCAATGAAGCGGGACCCTCTGCTTTTCCTTCTTATACCAGCCTGTAAGGTGGGCTTGTTGGCTGCAGGAGATCCAGCTGCCAACTCAGATTAGGAGACACTTTTGAGTTGTGCACACAGATGGAAACTAGGTCCTATAAGGTAACACAGAGCTGCATACCAGTCTCCCTGTAGCCCTTGACACTTTTGTGTGTGAGAGGAAAACAAACTTCTATCTTATTTAAGCTGTGACTTGGGGGGCTTTCCTGTCAGCATCCAAACATCATTTTGACTATGATCAATATATTCAATACATGAATATCTAGTTAAGAAAGATGTTCCAATCACCAAAAACATTGTGCTGATTTCAGATACTGCTGTTTTTTCAGTTAGGTAAGTAGATATCACTTACTAATTCCAAACAATTACTTTCATAAAAAGTATAAATCATGGATTATATAAAATAGATCTGATTAGTGCTCAACTTAAATTACCTTAACATTTGGTTATGTTGAATTTTTAAAGGCTTGTGTAATTTCCAGAGTAATTTATCTGAAACAAATAACAATAGACAGTAAAATAGGTGAAAAATAATAATTACAAATCATAATAAATTTTTTAATGAAGTTTGTTAATTTACTAATAGGGACCCTGTTATTGAATTTAGCTTTCTTCTGGAAGCAGTTTAATATAAAATAAAATTTAAGTTCTTCTACTTTAAAATAAACATTTAAAATAAATAATATTTTTAGCTTCCTCTACTTAAGGCAATGAATTTTTTGACTTTTACAAATTTTTCCCAATTCTACATATTTAAGATAGTTTATATCTTCATTCTTACAAAGGTGAAAAGTAGCTGGCCAATGGATTTGAAAATGAATGTGATCATCAGACAGTAGCCCATATTTCTTTAGATAATTAATATTCACTTATTAACAAAAGCAAACTTATTTTTGCCTACAAAAATAGGGGGAAATCAAAACAGCCCTGAGTTTGACCAGAAACATGTAACTTTCTATAAAGAAATGGGCACAGGGAGTTAAAAAGACTTATTTCAACAACAGACGCCTTGTGAGTAGTTTACTTCTATGACACATTTCAGAGCCCTTCCAGCACCACGGTCAATCTGCTTTCCTAATTTTTTTTTTTTTGAGCATCTAACTTTCAAAATAAATGACAAGGTAGTTTAAAGATGAATTTCTGAAACTAAAGTTATTTTTTAATTTTAATTTTATTTTATGTATTTGGTACAAGGTCTTACTACACAGCTTGGACTCATAATGATCCTCCCATTTTCAGCCTCCTCTGTGCTGGGATTACAGGCATGCACCACCACGCATGGGCTCAGTCACCCATGCAGAACTGGGTATCCTACCCTGATCCCTGCGCTTGCCAAAGCAGGCACTTAGTCCTCTAGGCAATCTTGCCAGCCCCTAAGGTTAATTTTAAAAAGCAAACTATATTTCATAAGTAGGCTCATCACTGGTACCTGTCTTAAGGAATGCTTAAGGTTTCCACTCAGTAGATTTTTTTGACCATTTGTAAGAGGAGAAAAATCCACCCTTCATATTTTTTCCATATTTTAATTAGTTTTGCATTTCAAATATTATTATGGTTGTTTTTATTGTTGGGCCTTTTTGAGCCAGGATCTCACTATTTGGCCCAGGTTATCCTTGAACATGAGGTCCTATTGCCTCAGCCTCCTGTGTGCTAAGATTACAGGCATGTAGTACCATGCTTTAGCCTATTGTACTGTACTATTGTATTGTGTTTGGGGTTTTTTGTTTATACTTAGTTTTGTTTTGTTTTGACCTTAACACTGTATTGTTTTTAAAATAACAATACTACTAGATTTGGCTATTAAAAAAAATTAGAAGCCAAGAAAATTTCACCTGAAGGACCCTGCATTTGCCAGGCAAGCACTTTTTCTACTGAGCTATCTCTCCTGCCCTTAAAAAATTATTAAATAAAATATATAGGTCAAAAAGAAAATTTCACTTGAAGGAATAAAACTCCAGGAAGCATGAATTAACATACTTTTTCAAAAATCAGACCCTCACTACAGGCTCTGAATCTGATTTCCCAAAACTTTTAAATTATGAATGGGTTCATTGTCCATCTGAACGTTTAGAATCACAAACCTAGAAAAGGATTCTGATACAAAAGGTCAATTAAGTTTCTAGTTCTAGAACACAGAACTGGTTATAATTAAACAGCAAATTAAGGTCACAATGATTCCTTCTGTCTAAGAAACCAGATTTAGCCCAAAACAAAAAATAAAAAACAAAACAGCAACAACAATAAAAAACCAGGGATATAGCTCCATGGCATGAACACCTGCCTGGCAAGCACGAAGTCCAGAGTTCAATCTCCCCTGCCACAAAAAGAAAAGAAAAGAAAAGCTAACAGCTGGGGCTGTGTATAACGAACTCTTTCAGCCCCTCCCACATTCATCTACTTTCCCCCATATTCCTACCCAAGAACACTACACAACTGAAAGATGATAGTTGGCCTCTGTGTTCTCTCTGAAACTCCTAAGTCAAGTTAGGGCTGCCTGAGGGATACACATGCTACTGTAAATTCAAGAACGTACCAAAGAATTATCCCAGTGCAATAGATGTCCCCAAATCACCACACATACCATTAGGCTGTGAACTAGGCCAAGCACAGTGCAGTCTCATAAGACTTAAGGGCAAATGCTCCATATTTCTGGCCTCAGCCGCCTAACATACAAAATGAAAAAAAAAAAAAAAAAAAAAAAATTATCTGACCTTAAAGATCTGTAACTGCCATAATTACTATTCCAGAGATTTCAAAGCTCTTTGAATCTTTTTTTTTTTAACATTTATTTATTTTTTTTGTGTGTGTGTGTGTGTGTGTGTGTGTGGCCAGCTCAGCCCACCAGGGGGTGGGGCTGGCTGGCATGTGGTGCTGGGGGATTGAACCGCAGTCCCTGTGCTTTGCCAAGCTTGTTCCAAGTAGGTGCTTTAGACCACTGAGCCATCTCGCCAGCCCTCTTTGAATCTTTCTACCTGTAATGAAATGCATGTAGCTACTGAAATATGGTTGTCCTAAAATCAAAGTCATGAAGATGGTGAGCAATACAGCATAGCAACAGGGCCAAGGACAAAAAAAATCACATGATCATCTCAACAGGCGCAGAAAAAGTCTGTGATCAATACTCACTTATGATGAAAAAAAAAAGACACTGAAAATTACAATAGCATAGAAAAAGAAACAAACAATAGAGTGGAGACAACACACAGAGTGGGGAAAAATATGCCAGCTGTTTCTTAGACTAAGGACTAATATATAGAATATACAAAGAATTCGAAAATATCACCCCCCCCCAATTTAAAGACCCAATCTAAAAACTGGCATCTGAAATGAACAGACACTTCTCAGATCAAGTATAAATAGCAAATAAAGGGGCTGGGGAGATGGCTCAGTGGAATAAGTGCTTCCCTGGCAAGTGTAAGGGCCTGAGTTCAATCCCTGGTTGCATCAAAAAAAAAA